TCTCTCTCTCTCTCTCACACACGCACGCACTAATAACAAAACATACTTACAGTAGCTGATTCAGAAGTGCCAGATTGTCATAGCAAAGTCAGAATTACCTCCTCTCCTAGGTTCACGAAACGGTCGTCCATAAAATGCATTGCTGTTCTGTTGTAAGTAATCTTAAAGATTCCTAAATGCATCTACTTTCGGAAGGCCAAATAAAGTGGTTTTGCTTTCGCCTAGAAACACACAGCGTCTCCTTGACATGGCTGCTTCAACACTAACTGCGTTTACTGAAACCACGCCTTCTTTCTTTGCGTGCACATTTGGGTGGCATTATGCAAATGTTTCCACATAGTGAGGTAGATATGTGGGGGCGTGTTAGAACGAGCCATTTTAGGGGGGCGTGGCAGAGTCTTAACTTTGATAAAGAATATCTCTTTGGTTTTGAGACTTTAGTCTTTGCAACTTCAGGGATCTTATCTATGCACAATCAGCTTGTAACACTCCAAAGAGAAAGGAAAACTTGAAATCGCATCATATGACCCCTTTAAAAAAAAATTTCATTAGTTCATCATTATGTCCCTTTAGAGGCTACATGCATTTCAACTGTGGTTGCTATTTTTGTAACAATCTTAAAGGGATACTTCACCAAAAATGTACACTTTGGGTGAACTATCCCTTTAAGCAAATTTCAATCATTTTAGGGACGTTACGGCTGTTGTCGCTTTATCAGAGATGGATACAGGACCCCAAAAGAGGTAACCAGACACTTGATTTTACACAAAATAAAAGTATTTTGTGGCTAATTCTCTTATAGTGTGACTGCATTCTATGTTTTTTATGGTTGTGATAGGACCCCACTCGCCTTCACTATGATCCTGCTGAGCTGAAGCTCTTTGAGAACATTGAATGTGAGTGGCCAGTATTTTGGACTTACCTTATACTCGATGGCATCTTCAATGAAGACCATGAGCAGGTACGAACAGGCCGTCCTATAAATCCTCACTTGTATTCTGAAAGCAGCTGAAATAACTCCCACTCATGGCCACATGGAGGCAGTATGTAGTTATGACAGACGGCGTGTCATTCCTCAGGTGCAGGAATACAGAGAGGCTCTTGAAGGAGTTTTGATCAGAGGCAAACACGGGATTCGTCTGGTGCCTGAACTCTATGCTGTACCTGCTGACAAAGTGAGTTTAAACCAGTTTGTTACTCTGATCAATACCATGTACAGTTCATCAATGTCTAATTTTCATCTGATGATCATTTATCATTCTGAATCTGCATGTACATTTATCACCTCAGATACTCCTTTTTTTTGCGCAAAGACACAATGTGTACTAAATTATGCCAGTTCTAAAGATTAATTCAAGTTGAATGAGTGTTTGGACTCTGCTCAGTAACTGTGACACAAACAATCCTGGGTAAAATGTTTTGATCTGTTGCTCATCTGTGTGTTTATTTCTTGTTCAGGTTGAAGAGGAGTACAGGAACCCTCACTCTGTGGAGCGTGTGGCCGCTGGCCAGCTCCCACACATGTGGGGCCAATCTCTGTATATCCTGGGCTGTCTGCTGGCAGAGGTTCTAAAGCCTGGATCCACTTTCATATTAAACATGTTATACTGTATATAATCAGATATGATGTCAGGTGTTGAAGCGCTACCTTTGGTATCTTTGTTGATTAAGTGTACATGTGAAATGTCAAAACAGAGTAGTCCCAGTGTTTCTTAGGCAATCCTTTGTGTCTTATCTATTCTGCTTCTTTTACTGATATCTGACAAATGGTTAATTTTAAATAGGGATTTCTGGCCCCTGGAGAGATTGATCCTCTGAATAGGCGGTTTTCTAAAGAATTCAAGCCAGATGTTGTTGTGCAAGGTTTGTGAATATTATTGCTTTATTTATTTTTTTAAATGAGGAATATAGACAGTCAAACCATACCTATTCAGACACTTATTTGTACCATATATCACCTTTTGAATTTCTGTAATTTTTTTTATTGGAAAAAGCATGTGGCAGATTTTTAGAAATATGTTTTGGCCAAACTCAGGCACTTATGCTAATGCTCAATTACAGTATAACTTGATAACTAAGTTGTAATAGCTTTTCAACAAATGTAACAAGATATAAAGTGCTAAGAGATATTTGAGAAACAAAGAGATAAAGGGCAAAGGTTGCTCTTTAAAGAAGGGCCAATTAGCTCACGTGAAACATGATAACTTTTGAAATTATGATATTATCATACAGATTTTTATAATTAACAATGTCAGTGTGTTTGAGTGAGACAAAAAACTAATACACATAACCTCATAATATATATATATATATATATATATATATATACACTGTATATATATATATATATTATACTTATGTTTAGCCTGTTGTTTTCTCACCAACACATACAACTTTCTGGAAGACTACATTTATAATGGAAAAAATGTGGGTTGAATCCCAGTGAACACAATACTGCAAAAAAAAAAAAATCTTTTGAAAGATTTTGGTTAAAGAAAGAATAAACTGAATATATATGAATTTATATAGTATGTTTCATTTATATGAAACTATATAGTATGTTTTGCATCTATAAAAGGTTTGAGTTTAATATCGTTTTAATATTTTATATTAGGGGATATGAAAATCTACCACAGTAGGAATGAGTGAGCTGGTTGTGTTGGGCTGAAGTCCATTTAAGGAGCAGATTCAATTTATTACTAGAAGCTCAATTTTGAATTTGATCTTGACACTATAATTTGCTAAACAGAGAAGACTGACCTTTTGTTCTGTTTAGTGAGTGTAGTGGCTGAGTCAGTGCAGATCCAGCAGCTGCTGAGGGATCAAGGGATTGAGGTTCAGACCATCTCTGATGTTTCGCCCATCCGGGTCATGCCAGCTCGCATCCTGAGCCACATTTACGTGAAACTGGGTAAGTGTTCAGATTCACCATGACTTAACAGGACAGAGCCAGACCGTGTAAACAAAGGCTACATCTGTAAAACTGCATTTAGAAGAAGGTCTTGAAGGTTCTGGGATACAAAATTGAATTCAAACCGGTTCCTTTTTCCACTGCACAGGTAACTGTAAAAAGCTGAATCTGAGTGGGCGACCATACAGGCACATTGGTGTCTTGGGAACTTCAAAGTTTTATGAGATCAGAAATGGTACTTACACATTCACTCCACAGGTAAATAAAAAGGATCTCACATGGAAGTCTTTTATAGTAGAAGACCTACTCTACAAAAAAAAATATGTACGTATATACTGTAAAGTCTAAAAAAACATTATAACAATATATTTTTCACATAGTTCATTGACCAGCATCACTTCTACTTGGCTCTGGATAACCAGATGATTGTGGAGATGTTGCGAACAGAGCTTGCTTATCTCTCGTCCTGCTGGCGGATGACTGGAAGACCTACCCTCACGTTCCCTATCACACCGAGCATGCTGGGTAAAACCTCGTACGATGGAAGATATTGCACTATGCACAAATTAATATTAACAGTTTCTTTCTTTCTATTATTGGGCCAGTTGAGGAGGGTGACAGTATTGACCCCTGTATCCTCTCTACCCTCCGGAAGCTTCAAGATGGCTACTTTGCGGGTGCAAGGTCAGAAAAATTGTGGCAGTAACAATAAAAAGAGTTAGAGTATGATGTTTGAGGCGCGAATATGGTTTATTTGACATCGCATATCCCTTTGTTGTTTAGGGTGCAGATGGCAAACCTCTCCTCATTCCTCACCACCTCCTTCCACACCCAGCTCAGCTTCTTGGATGCTGACTCTGAAGAGAATTTGCTAGAGGAAGAGGAAGAAGAAGAGGAAGAGAGTTTTGGGTCCTCAGGTATCCATACTGACTTGCATATGGAAAGCATCTCTCCCCAAAAAATACCCTGCTGAAAAACCAGGGTTTTCAGACCAGATTAAGTGTTGATGGTTCAAGGTTGATTTATGCTGGTTATTGTTGGTCAAGCTGATGGACCAGAATGGTCTTTCTTAGGGTACCATTTCAGCAGTGTTGTTATTGCTAACTAAACATCTTTCGGATGAGACGTTAAACCGAGGTCCTGACTCTCTGTGGTCATTAAAAATCCCATGGCACGAGTATGATGTTTGAGGCGCGAATATGGTTTATTTGACATCGCATATCCCTTTGTTGTTTAGGGTGCAGATGGCAAACCTCTCCTCATTCCTCACAACCTCCTTCCACACCCAGCTCAGCTTCTTGGATGCTGACTCTGAAGAGAATTTGCTAGAGGAAGAGGAAGAAGAAGAGGAAGAGAGTTTTGGGTCCTCAGGTATCCATACTGACTTGCATATGGAAAGCATCTCTCCCCAAAAAATACCCTGATACATACCCTGCGTTTTCAGACCAGATTAAGTGTTGATGGTTCAAGGTTGATTTATGCTGGTTATTGTTGGTCAAGCTGATGGACCAGAATGGTCTTTCTTAGGGTACCATTTCAGCAGTGTTGTTATTGCTAACTAAACACCAAGTGGATGCTGCACACTGGTGGTGGTTGAGGAGATACCCCCCCACATGATTGTAAAGCACTTTGGGTGTACAACAATACGCAATAAAGCGCTATATAAATGCATCATTCATTCATTCATTCATTCATTCATTCATAAACTATTAAAATTTAAATAAATCTGAAATAAAATATAAATATTAGCTGAAAAACTTAAACTTACAAAACGTGAATAAAAAATTGGCATTGGCAACTGAAATAAAATGAATTGAAGTAAAAATTGAATTTGAAGTACTTAAATTACTGAATCTAAAACTGAAATAAAATAAAAAATTAAATAAAACTAAATATAAATATAAAAAAACATAAAACTAATAAAATGACAAAAGCACATTACTTGACAGTTTTTTAATAAAAATAAAAATATGATTTTTAGAGTTAAAATAAAAAATAAAAATAAAAGCTAATTCAAAATATGAATAAATACTATAATATAAATAATTCTAAAATAACACTGTTATATATTAGATATCCACTGATTTAAAAACTGATTAAAGATTTGTTTTTATATTTAAATTGCCAATACTCACTTAAATAGCACTGTGAAATGTAATGTTTAGCAAATATCAAAGTGAATATCTATTTTTTATACTCTACATTATTGTGATGCCTAAACTCACTTGTAGCATTTAATATGATTGATTTTAGTTTTTATTTTAAATTACTTCAAAATAGTGTTGAATTTGACTAATCATTATCATCCAGAATTTAGATATCTGCATCTCTATTCCTGATCTTGTTGGTTAAGCTAGTTAATAAGTCTACTGGGGACACCAGCATCCAAAACACAACATATGCACAATACTCCACATAAACTAAAATGATAAAGTGGTGGTTTGTTTTCCCGCAGGAGGTTCAGGACACATGTTTGACCAGTATCTCACAGATCTATTGCACAGCACTGCTACAAAATGCCATCTGCCTCCCATCCAGAGGGGGCAGCACCACGTTTTTAGTGCTGAACACACCACCAGGGACATCCTTTCTTTCATGGCCCAGGTTCAGGGCCACAACATGCCCAGTAAGCCCTCAAGGTCGATCGTTAATAGTTAAGTGGATTTCATGCTTTCTTTTAGAGTACGGCTAGTCATCTCATTCTGTTATGTTTTTCAGAGCCTTCCATGTATTTGCCTGTTGTCCCCATCATGAGCAAACACAGGAAGTCTCTCAATCTGCTGGATGTTCCTCAGCACAATGTTTCTCATCGCACCAAGGCAAGTCTCCACACTCCAGTATAAAGTGAAAAAATGAAATAAATGGCCCATTGTTTTGATTCATGTCTGTTTTTGTCTGCACACACAATCTAGGCCGATAGTGTTGACCTGCACTTGCCACGTGATTCTCATGGGAACACAGACTTTGCCTATCTGGTAAATCAGCTAAAGCATTGTCCAACCCTTCAGGACCAGGCAGATATCCTCTATGTCCTCTATGCTATGAAGTGAGAACCTTTGTACAAATTGACTGTGCATATCCATTATAATTT